TTGGAAAGAATGTGATTTATTGTATCCTTACTTGTGCTTTTATTAGTTAAAATACTCTATGAAAGTTGTTATTGGATTTAAATAGTTAATATCCTAATTCTTAAATGTTGCAATTAAGAAGAATATTGTATGTCCCTCCTAGGATAATGTGAGTCAGTCTTTTAAGATAGGTTTCACATCAAATGAGCACTCTCTTTAACGTAGAAGGCGCGCCCTTCTAAAATCTAGCTAATCTAAGAACGTTAAACAGTGGAGCCCGGAGACGTCCACCTTGATCTAAGTCATATCTTAGGATAAGGGATAGAGATCCTGCCCTTGGTCGGGGAACGGTCCTCTGTGATGTAGAGCATAACACAAAGGTGTGACCATGTAACACCCAAAATTCCAAACACTTATATTATAAAAATATGCGGATAATTTACTCAAAAATAGGATGTTGCATTTTTTCACCATAAATATCTTTCTTAATTATTATATTATAGCAGCAAAAATAAATAATAACAACTTAACTTTAATTGTATCGTAAATAAAAACCAACTTCATTTCAAGTCATAAAATAAATAGTTAAATAACTCTCAGAATACAAAACACAAAGGTAACTCGTCCCAGTGTTACGTTATCAGAGCGACACATAGAAAATATAACAAACTCAAAGAATGATGAAGAAGGTCACTACGTCATCCTCCAAAACACAATAGAAGCTAAGACTCCTCTACTTGGGTGTCTGCACCACCGGCATAATGAACAACACAGACAAATAAACAGGAGATGGGAATACATTCAGTTATGTTAGTGGTGCATAAAACATCAAGGATAGTGCGATTAATATCAATCATATAAATGATCCAAAACAATAATTAATTACAAATGAGTTTATGTATTCAATGTATTCATCTCCTTTTACTTCAACGCATGTGGTACCAAGGTTCTGGATATTACAGATATGTTAATGATTCATCTACTCATTATTGGTTCCTCTCTAAACCATGAGACCCATCACTAGTTTCTCTCTGAACTCAGTTCCTCTCTGAACCATGAAACTTGTCACTAGTTCCTCTCTGAACCTGATACTCCTCTTTGGACCGAACCCCTGCCTATCTTTCATATACATGATGCATGAATGCAACAAAAAAATGCAATACTTGTCTAGAGACCTCCAACTCTAATACTCTTCAGTGGTTCCTTTCTGAACCTAAAACTCATCATGAACATCGCTAATAAGGCTACAACAATGGTTCCTCTCTGAACTAAACATCTCAGCATAACTCAACACTTTTATCATAACTCATCATCATAATTGAATTATAAAATTCTTGACAATACATATCGATAATCGTCGACATCCTCAAAAAAGTATCGAATAAACATCTAAAATAGAATCCATTTGAAAAATGGAGTCGAACGACCCAAAATCAGTCAAACAAGGGCTGGCGGTCAGCCCTTTGGGCATGAAGGCCATCACACCTGCTCAACACCTCTCTCCGTCACAAACTCGTCATCATGTTAACACCTTGGCAGGGAGCTCATCCCTAATACCATGACGGTCGGTCTATCACCTTGTTAACGTCATTCACCTTATGTCAACACAGTGATAGTTGGCTCGTCCGTCACTATTGTGCAGAATGTGGATTTTTGTGTTTTTTCCATTGGAGCACTTTCAAAGCTCTGATTTCTATCTCAGAAAATCCAAAACTCACAATAAATCATTGTACATCACTTATACTGCATTTAACAGATCGATTTCACACAGATTAATCATTTATATCATTTATTGACCACAAAGCCATTAACATGTTCATCAATTTAAAGCATATCAACATGAACATCAAAACTCAGAATCACACATGCAATTTCATACAAAATTCAGTCAACAATACAACACAAAATTTACAGCGTATCACAACAATCAAGATGGGTTTTGCGCAAACCATCTCATGATTCAACAATTTCATCAATTGAAGAAATTAAAAGAAAAGGGAAAGAGGATAAGGAATCATCTTTATCCTTTATACCTAAATACACCCACATCATGAACAATCCCTTCTTACCTTGAATTTGCAGCAAGCTTCAAGCTTTGGTTGTGGAGGTTCTCTCTTCTCCTTCCCAAAAGTTCTCATATGGTTTGTCTTCTTTTGCCTTCTTTTCCCAAAAACATGTATTAACCAAACTCTCCCCCAATTTTTCTATTTAAATAAATAAAAACCTAATTTCTATTTTATTTTAATTGATTTCACCAATCCCTCATAATTCTTGTCAATTCCACTCACCTTTCTATTTTATTAAAAACTCTATTTTTCTCCCTAAAGCACAAAATATACTGTTTCATTTATTTACATAATTAAAATTACTGATAATTCTAATAAAACTCTACCCTTTCTTAATAATATCAATAAATTAAATATAGTACTCAAATAAAATAATATAAATTATTTTAAACTCAATTAAAATAAAATAAACGAAAAAAACGGGGTGTTACAACTCTCCCACAATTAAAGAATTTTTGCCCTTGAAAACTACTTGGGAGAAACAGCTCTAGATAAGACTCTCTCATTAGATTCTTCAGCTCCCGTATTACGCTTCCTCTAGCCGGTCCTCCACACACTATCTTTACCAAAGTGATCTCTTAATCTCTCAAGTGTTTCGCTTCTGTTCCTTAATCCCAAGGGTGATGCCTCAACAGTCAAGTTTACTCTCAATTGCACATCATCCAATTGGATCATATGAGACAAATCGGGAATATATTTCTGAAGTTGAGACACATGAAAGACACTATGAAAATTTGAAGGAGATGGTGGTAAGACAATTATGTATGCCACTCTTCCTAATCTTTGAAGGATTTGATACGGACCAATAAAACAATGTGTGAGCTATCGAGACTTCAACGCACGACCAACACAAGTCACCAGCGTGACTCTCAAGAACACATGATCTCCCTCTCAGAATTCAAGTGCATTCCTTCGTTTATCGTGATAACTCTTTTGACTGTTTTGTGATGCCTTCATCTTCTACTTAATCATCTTAACCTTTTCAATAGTCTGATAAATAATCTAATGTCCAAAAATATTTTCACCTGACTCATACCTACACAAAGGTGTCTTACACCTTTTACTATACAAAGCTTTTAAAGGTGTCATTCCAATACTAGAATGGAAATTGTTATAGATAAACTCAATCAACGACAAGTATGGAAGAGTTCACCAGGTTGAGCAACGTTGAAAGAGATGCAAATAAGGAAATGTCAAAGAAGGAACCACTAATATATTAGGTAGTAACACGTGTTTTAATACATTTTAGTTTTAATCTAACAATGTAACTCATTTTTTGTATGTAATGTTCATAATGTTATAAAATTGGATGTTAATTTTTGGACAATTTTTGTGTTTCTAAATTATACACAACATAATATACTAGTTATGTATGAACAGTGGTTTGGGTGGGTCCGAAGATGCATCTCCAGACACGCCTTTCAAATATGAAGGATGTCTGTCTTCGTAAAGATCCTTATTTTTTAAAGAAAAAAGGGTATAAATATGTCCTAATGATAGGATATGGTTCGTAAAGTTCTTATTGATCTACAACTTCTAAAAATATATCTACATCTTATAAATATATCCACATCTTACATTTTTGTATTTCAATGGCGCAAATCTCTCACTTCAGTTTAGGATCTCCGAGGACATACATCTCGTTAATTGAAATCCAAATTAAATACTCTCCTATGATATCCAAAAAATCAAAGAGTTGTCAAGCTCAGATACCATGCACTCTCAATTGACAAGGAAGAAAATATACAACTCACTATGTTTGAAATGGAGACGGGTGATGATTTAAAGGTTATGTGAAATACCTTTTATCGTTACTCAACAAAGGGTTTAGTTGAGGTGGATGCGACGATTACAAGATCAGCCGAAGATATTATAAAAATGTTACAATGTCCTAAACCACCCATTTGTAATGACATGTAACATTAAATTTATGTTAATGTTAATAAATATCTATGTAATACTTATTTTAATATTAATTTATGTTATGTTTCTATTCTGCCATTATTCCGGCTTGTTTTTGGTTTAAACTAACCGAGCATTTTAGAGTTACATCTCCAAAAAATTTATTGAATATTAAACTAATAGGATTATAGAGATACATTTCTAAATTAAACTTTAATTCATACATTGATGTATCTCCAACATAAATTTTAATATAATAAGAGTTTCTCAGCAATTTCATATGAAATGTGTGAAAAATATACATTCAAAGATGCATTCCAAATATTTGAGACTTTTCACATTCGAGAGTGGAAAAAGTAACCCCAATTAATCAATAAATAAACAGCAAAAAACAGAGAAAGATCGGCAGAAGACCATCAGTTTTAAACCATTTCTCCTACAAGTAAGAAATGATGACATGGTAGACCAGGACTGAAACAGACTGATAATTGACCGAATGTTTTATGAAAAATGATGCTTTCGTCAGTAGAAAACACAAGTTTCCTCCTAGTGATTAGTGAATTTAATTTAATTCTTTTACTAAGCAGTGATATAATCATAATAGTAAAATCCCTTTGTTGAATCAACCTCGTGTGCAAAACTTTATTCTACAATATTAATACATCCATTGATCAAAAAAACAACAAGTACAAGAACTTTCAGTATTGAATTTCGAATGTCCATAAAGCGTGGTGAATACAGCATCAACGAGTTATAATCATCATTAACTAGTTATAGACATTGCTGTCTGTAATTAATTGTCAATGGTTATAATCATCACTCAACTGTTGTCCTCTGTAAGTTTTGGTATGGTGTGGCTGACCCAGAAATATTCAAGGGATTTACGGTATCATGAACTTTAACGAATTTGACAATCAGCCTCAATAAAAACAAAAAGGCTAATGCTATAAACAACTAATGATAATTACAGAACATGGTGTAGGGTTTAGGGTTTAGTATTGTATATAATTTAATAAGCAGTCTATATAAAACAAAACTGGGTAGACCGAACATTCAATATATACTAACAAGAGGATCATCGTGATCTTGAGGATTGTTGAGAGCCAATATATGTTTCTGAAATGAAGATGCAGCCTCTTCCCTTTCCTCTAATTGCCCAACTTTGTCATAGACCATGGCCATCAGGTAGAAGGCTTCGGCTGCCAATTCATGAAACTGCAGGGCAGTCAAGATATAATTTTGACAGACAATAATGAAGGTAAGTAGCACATAGTATTTTCCAGGCAAGAATAATAGCACCATTTATTTTATTTTATTTATAATAAAAAAAACATTAGTCAAGTGAAGGAGCAAAAACCAAAAGATTAAAATGCACAAGTCTGCTTACCTCCAAAAGTTGGAGTTCTTCAGAAGATTGTCTTAATGAATCTATCACAAGATTGTAATCTTCGAAGACTGAAATAACAATGAAAATGAGCAAAAGGAGATTTAGTTGAAGGTCCGATGTGTGGGGAGAAAAGAAGAGAATAGGGCCTTCACGCCTTCAGCAACTTACCATTGAAATTTGTATCAAAGAGATAGCATTTTGCTTCAACAATATAGGCTCGTGAGCGGAGCTCCAAACCTCCATGACCAAGAATCATCGGAAAAGCTCCATGAACGAGGTTCAGAGCCCGTGTTGCATGGTTTGATCCAAGAGAGAGCCATAGCTCAGCTAAAGTAAGAGTAGCTGAGGCTTTTAGAAGATCCAAGTTAAATGATATGCAGAATGAGAGGCTTGCTAAAGCATATGGTAGCCCTAAAACCGCATTGCCGGATTTCTGATATAATTTAATATAATGAAAATATCAGGGATTTAAAGCAAACAAACTGTGGAGGACACAGCAATATGAAAGCTGGTAGTTTGGAAGTGTAGTGTACATCAATTAACTTAGGATGAGCCAATAGATAATGCAATAAAAGAAAACCATTGTACAGTTTAAATCAATAAGAAATAAAACATGCATTGTCATGACTAATGAAAAATGTTTTTCCTTGAATAAAAGATTGGGCTTATTACAAGCATAGAGACACTAAAAATAAGTCTTTGTTTACTAAATGTTCATATAATCTTTTTCTATTTTATTTTTTCATGAAAGCTGGTAGTTTGGACTTTGGAAGTGTAGTACACATCAATTAACTTAGGATGGGCATATAGATAATGCATTAAAAAAAATTATTGTACAGTTAAATCAATAAAAAATAAAAACATGCACATGACTCGTGAGAAATATTTTTCCTTGAATAAAAGAAGGATGTCAATGAGTACTTAATACACGCATAGAGACATTTTACGGACATATGTTTTTTTTACTGAATATTTATATTATATTTTTCTGTTTGTTTTTTTCAATTCTTCCTTCTTCATTTCCTTCTCTTGTGGAGACTTGTGTAACACATTATAACTATTTGATACACAATCGTCATTTGGTGAGATGAATTGGAGGGGATGTCACCCCGAAGTAATTTGTAACCCATCAACAAATTTTGGTTAAATAAAAAGTTGCCCAAAAAGAGATCAAACAAGATAAAATAGCCAACTTGCCCAAAAAGAGATCAAAAAAGATAAAATAGCTTGATCTCAATTACATAAACTCTAAGTGTATCAGACCGATGTGATTGCATACCTTGTGAATCTCAGCAAGCAAAAGAAGAACTGAGGCATTTTCAACTTGCAGATTGTATTTGTAACACATGCAAAAGAGGGAGTGCGCCACTGAAGCTGCCTGAAAAAGAAAAAAATTACACAAAAATTAAATAAAACAATAATTTTCTTTTCTTCTGTTTGAGTAAAATATGATTGATTTTACATGTGCATTATACTAATCTTTAGTGCAGACGGAGGGAGGAACCTCTCGGAATTGTTTTGCTGCAAGCAAGGTACGGGCATGCCGAAGGCTTGCTTCTGTCTTTATCTCCATATCTACACCAGTAACAGGTGATGCCAAAACACCAAGTTCGTCGCACAGTTTCTGGGCCAACTTCAAACGTCCGCTACATAATTCTCAATTAAGTTATCAACAATGCTGAAATCGCATCTGGTTACAGTATGTAAAAATATGAACACAACTTTTAACCTAGACTACATACCCATGTAAAGCGTGCTCGTGAAGCAGCTGCAGCTTTAGCAGTAAGATTTGTGATTTTGAGACAGATAGAAACTTCTCTTCTGCTATTTTAAGGGCAGAAAAGGCCTCTGAACACAGAATGAGGACAGAAGAACAATAAGGAGCAAGAGAAGGAATGTGTGCTGTGTAATTGACTGGGTTTTTACCCTCTAATCTTCTATCCATATTCACAATAAAAGAGAGAAAAACCACTTTGTATTTACAAAAGGCAATTTGCATTACAAACAATTACCATTAACTTATTCATAAACAATTAATATATTGATTTACAAACCACTAAAGTTGGCATAAAACAGAGTAAAACAATGAGATTTTAGAAGAAAAAAGACACACACACATACACACGTATATAAGGGCGGGAGTCTGTTCTATTTAATGCAACCGATCTAACCTTTGTATCCTTTAAAGACTGCTAAATGTTGAATGAGCTTTACATATGCTAATGCTGCATCAGATGAGCTGGGGTAACCATGAACAAAGTTAAAGCAAGCACAAAATTAGGCTTAAATATAAGTTTAATCGCTAAAAACTTTTTTTTTAAATTAGTCCTTACTTTAAAATAAAAAAAATAAAAAAATAAAGCATTTAGTAAAAAACATTTAGTAGATAATAGTTTGCTGTAGTCCATTTGAGGACTAGAAGTCTTTTTTTATTGATATAGAGACTGAGGCAAAAAAAATTAGACTTTATAACTATATTTTTTTTAAATAATTAGCGATAAAAACATTGAAGAGGAAAAATGGTTGTTCAGTAGCTGTATTTTAATAACCATAGGTGATACAGAATTAGCAACTTGAAATATGATCTTTGTAATCCGTGGTACATTCAGTTAAGTAGCTACCTTGATGCATCGGCAAAGCAAGTTGCGTGAACTATCGCATTTATGCGGGACATGGGAGTGCTAATGACAGTTCAAAAAAAGAAAAGGAAAAGAACAAAATCAGATGATGAGATACACACAGCAAGCTTCCAAGACAATATAAAATTATGAAGGAAAAAAAACATTATGCATGCATATCCAACAATTAAATATCTTTCATCACCTCATAATGATGAAAAAATCTCAAAACAAAACAACCTTTTATAAACTGATAGAATAAAAACAAGCATTTTGCTCAATTTTATTTATAACCAAAAGTCTGATGCAACAAAATCAGACCTTCAAGAATATTGGTCAAGATGGTTGCTTCCGTGCTCATTATGATACAATTTATCTTGATGAGTTTGAAAACCATATTCATTAGATTAAATCCAAATAAAGAAAACATTGTGTGAAAATTGGGTTCTGCATGCATGTTTGTAAGGCCGTACCACCTACTAAACTGTTTAATCATAGGATATAAGTGTATAATGTTACATGTATATCGGTCTGTACACAGAAAAAGTGCATATTTTGAACCTCTCTCTCTCTCTCTCTCTCCCTATCAAAGCATTTTATGTTTTAATAAAGAGGATATTTAATTTATGGTTTGATTGGAGCGACTGGTGTTCACCTTCTGCATTCATTCGCACTCTGGTACTCAATCTTAAATAAATGTTAACATAAAACCAATAGGAGAGTTTATCAATCTCTCTGTCTCTCACTCTATGATATCATTTTCCCCAATATTAGTTTTTTTATTATACAAACTTATTTCAGAGTTTTGGTCCTTCTATTAAGGCTCATTTACAATCTTTGATTAAATCGTTATGATTTGGTGCTCATCTTTTTGCTTTTGCCCAACAATTGGTATGACCTATATAGGATGCTGTTAATAAGTCAAGAACTATAATCTAACTTGCAAAGAGAATGAGTTCTAAGTAGTCAGTGCCAAATACTTCAAAGAAAAGCAATACCATCATTCTAAAGCAGGATTATTTTCTTTTAATAATAATTCATAGTTAAATCAATTTAAATGCTGATCAACTATATTATATTTTGTTAACAGGCAGTTTCAAGAAAAAGAGAATAATAATTTAGTGCAACAGCCGTAATTCATATAATCATGCGTATCTACAACACAGATAGCAACTTTACCTTCCATATAACTCCCATGCAGTTGCCCGGAGTATATAAGAGGAACCCAGTACTTGCAACACAGATCCGGGAATTGAGGTTGGTTGGGCACAGAACTGGGGAACGTCGGAACTGCTGCCAGATCCAGAATCCTGACAGAAAACTAGAGAACCTGTTGGCTTTTGTAAATCCCTGAGCCAAGTTGTACTAAAGGCGCCATCAATTGTCATTGCAGAACTCTCTGAGCTAAAATCACTAATCAGATGTGAACTCAACCTGAGTTCCTGCCAAATATGTAAGGAAAAAATGCATTGAGTAATTAATATAATTCTCAGTTCTCAAACAGTCACCAACCAAGAATAATGACAGATTTATACTACCTTGGAAACGTTAACTGGGCAAGTACTGAGCTTCATGGAAGATTTTGGACCAAATGATAACATGGGCCTTTGAACATGCTGCATAGAAGATACTACTATTATGTAAAATTATTTAATTCAATTCACAATGGTAGAGCTTGAATCAACTTAAGTATGACAAATAATGATTATACACTATTAGCAACATGGAGTCGCATTTGATAGAAACCAAGTCATATAGAAAAGTAAACTGGGAAAACCCCTTTGATTACAAAATAATATCACAAAAATGTCAAAATGGCCCCTTTCCAATCAAATTCCAAGATATCCTCTCTCTCAATCTTTGTAGCACTGAAATAAGGTGTGCCCGTGTCACTGACACTTCTGATTATGTTCAATTTATTCACTTTTTCAAATTATTAGCGGTGTCAATGTGTCAATCTCAATGTCGTGTCTATGTTTGGGTCCTTGTTTCATCACCCCCTCTATTTATAGACACCACTTTCATTCTTCTAATTAATTAGTAATTCGTATTCTAACTGCAGTGCAGAGTTACATGACAGTTATTTTTAATAAAAACTGCCTACTAATAAATAAATTACTGCCTATTAATAACAAAACTGCTTAATAATATTAATTAACAAGACTCATTACTATTAGTATATTACTATCTTAATTGAGGTTTATATCTAACAATGCTCCACTAAACTATCACCTTATCCTCAAGGTGATTACTATAGAATAAAATCGAAAGCAATAATTACAAAACTATTTTATTCGCATCCCGCAACCCAATATCCCCCCTGGGTCCCACACTTGGGAGGACAAATCACCAAGCATTTTGAGATTATTGCAGTGGCTTTTGTTCGCCTTCCTCTGTAGGTTGGAGAATGTAGTGAATCTCTTTGTAGTCATTGTGCTGCAGACAACAGCACTCTTGTCTGTCGGTTTTGTTGGTGGAAATACTGCCAACATGCAATTTTGGTTCTTGATATTCTGATTGTACCAAGAAATATCAAAAATTGCCCCGCATTTGGGAATGTTCATTCTCAAACAGGGTAATCTGCAACCTAAAACATTTAAAGCAATGATCCAAACTTGGTAGCAGTAAGGACATCTTACAAAAGACATAGATTAAACGACCCATTTAGAAATTCTTTCAGGGATAAAAAGATACAAAAACTTTTATCATCACAACAAATACCTTCTTGGTATAGTGCAAAATGCTATAAATTGAAGTTTATGCGAGAAATCAAATTCTGACCAAACTTCAATCCAAGGTAGCTAATCAACTAGGTCATACCTACAGAAAAATCTTGCACTGCATGACAAAAAGTGTCATAATCAATTTAGCTTAACAAAGACATAAACAAAAATTCAACCCTCCTCCAGAGCCTTTCAAAAAACTTCTCAATAGTACCCCAGCACAGATTTTCCATATCTCAATGGTGACCATGTGTGTCTTTTTTATTTCCTTTTGTAATCCGTATAGATACATCAAACTTTGCAATAGATATACAGCTTCTTTCATTAACCTCCTTGGCATAAAACCAAAACAATTCTTTGATACGCATATCTCATCTAAATCTACCCTCAATAACTCTTTCCCATAGCTCCAATGATTAGCTTTGTCTAAAATTTGCACAATTTTGTATCTCATATTTTTCCACCAAGAAGCTACTCCTTCCGTTTCAAAATGAATGACATTAAGACGTTTAGGGTTGTTAAACACGTATTAAAATATGGAATGAATAAAAGAAAGATAATAGTAATTTTACTAAAGTAGTCTTAGTTACTATTGATGTGTTTTTCACTATTATAGATAAAAAGTGGAATATAATATTTTGAAAGTAGTGTACATAGTATTAAATAGAGAGTACAATTACAACAACAACCAAGCATTATCTCACCAAGTGGAGTCGGATACATGGATCAGATTCCACCATAATGTTCTATCAAAGACTATATTTCTATCAAAGAAAAAAAATAAATGTTACATTGAGAATGACATTCATTTGGAAACATTTATTTTTTGCTAAGTGACACTCATTGTGAAACGGAGGGAGCAATATACTTTAGGGTTGAATGTGTTTAGATACTAACAAGCTAATATTCTTATACTGACAACTTGACAAGACATTAATGATTTCAATTTATCATTTAGGGGACAAATTCAAAGAATATGCTAAATGACCACTTTCATATAAAAAAGAATATTAACTGTGCTACGAAAAAGTATGATGTGGTCAGAAAATCACATTACCGTTAAATCAAACTTCGCCATTGCCAAATGATTTGAAGCCAACAACCGTTTTAACTTTAAACTTTCTGCTCTCTTCAAAGAACCTCTCAAAAGAACAAACAATTGTTGCTGAACAGAGAGAGAAATACCCATACTAGTAAATGGTGAATATGATGACCCTAGTATCCCAGCAGTACTTGATATGCCATTTTCAAACAGCAAATTTGAGATAGCTGCTAAAGTATATGCAAGACAGCTATCATTACTGTGCTGCATAAATGAAAAGTGTCAGTATTCACAGCACAACACATAACTAATGTATGAGGAATACACATTTGAGTTTAAATGGCCACCCACACTAGCTAAGATTTATTTTTCAAGTATCTGTGGTAGTAAAGCGCATATACTGTAAGGCTGAACTTGCTGTTACCTTAGTTTTCTGCCACTTGTTGAACACAAGTTGGCAATTTTAATGAATTAACAAACTTTATTTTTATATGATTATTACCTGCTGAGATACACGAACTGCTTCAGTCAAAACCTAAACACAACAAAACAATGTGAGTAATGCACGGAAATATAGTAGATAGAGGAACAATGTCCTGATAACTATCTGTGGAGAACATAGTATAAATGATATAAACCCTTGAGGTCTAAGAAAGGTAGAAACATGTAGCACGTATCAAAATCAAAATGTTAAAAGAATTCACCTCTAAAGCCAGCTTTGGATGCCCAAAGTGGAAATGCATCATCCCCAAACATAATAAAGCAATTTCATATCTTCCAAAGCTATTACCACCAGCCGGAGGAACAAAATCAAATCCTTCGTTCCCTGCACTTTTGTCCAGCAAACAGACAAGTTCAGTTCAAAATGGTCAACACGAGCGTGAAATCTTGGCTTTTATTATAATCTTGGCTTATAGTTACACTCTATCCCTTTTATTATAATCTTGGCTTAACACGAGCATGAAATCTAACTCAATAGATGAAGATTTCTGTCTTCCAAAGCCTTTGTAAGGACTACTTTGGCCATGTAGAAAATTTATGTGGGATCTTAACGAGCCTCACTCATGTCAAGAGCTGGACATCAAAATAGTGAAGATTGCAGGATTGGACATCTAGTGGTGTACAATATAAGATTTAAGATACGCTCCAATGTTGTAATAGAATTTGGGCCTAATTTAATCCCAGAATTTGTTCAACAGGTGAGGATTTCCCGTGGTTTTAAGGACTACTTTGGCCATACAAACACCTAATCACTGTGGGATCTATGCACTTTTTATTGACTATTAAGTCACTTAACAATTGGTATTTGTACGTGAGAAGAGGTATAGCAATAAAGTCCTATAATTCCCAGGAAAATACAACAACTACAAATGACAATACAGGGAAAAGTTTAAACTTGCATCTGTAGTGATTCTAAATTTTGACAATCAACAATATCAATGAAACTGGGACTGGGACTGGAAGTATTTATAAGGTGGAGCAGCCTCAGTAATCGCGTGGAAGACAACAATGAAGCAGAATTCTTTTCACAGGAGGTACTTACTTCCTAGGCAACAACTCATTTTTTAGATGATTTATTTGTATTGTTTCTTTAATAACAGACCATTCTTTATATTTATGACTTTACAGTATATTACTAGGAATCAACAACTTTATAGACACGGTATCAACAGTGAGTGGTCAGGAAAAGTCTGGGAACATATAATGACTGACTGAAAATTCATCAGAAAAAGTTTACCACTAAAAGTTTATAATTGAATTTGCAACAAAAAAAAACGTAAACTACTCCTTAGAATTTACAGTTAAATTTATAAAAAGAAAACTGAAAAGTATAAAGCAAAATCGTATTTCAAGAGAGAGATATTGTAGAAAATAAAATAAAAAGTGGAATGCTGGCAGGGTACAGTGCCTCTGGTAATATAAACAGGCAATAGAGATTAGATTTTAGATAAATAACCAATAGTTCAATTACCTGTAATCAAAATAGCAATGAAGATTTTCCAAAGCAGCGATATAATCATCGTGAGAAAGACTATTCAAGTAGCTCAAAAAGTGAACCTGCATAGAAGTGAAATTCAAGCAGCAAACTTCAGGGGAATCTAGAAAAGAAAAACAGGTCCAATGAATGTTTAAAAAAATAACCCCCTAAACTTACACGATGTAGTTCGGGTGCCAACTTTTGTAGCTGGCGTAGAATAACTTCAAACCCATTCAAAGAAACAGCACTACCATTTCTGCAAAATGAATAAAATTTGAAAGATAATATATACAAACTATACAGTTAAAATTATGTTTAAAAAATTTATTAAAGTTTCAGGACTTCAAGTTGCGCACTTTTCAATGATATCAGCTTGTTCTTGCAAGTAACCCTGTATCTGCCAGTTTGTGCGCAAAAACACTGCACTGCTGGGATCAACATCCTGTACCATGTTACTTTGAGGGTCTTCATAAGAACTAGCTCCTCTTACTTTACCACTCTGTTTGGATACAGAATCGGCAGGCACATCAATATCTGCATGTGAGTTCCACCATTGCGTCAATCAGCAAGACTAAAAGCAAAGGCGTAAATAGAGAAAACCAAGAGTGAAGTTGGGGTAAATAAGAGTCGGAGCAGAAAAATGGGATTTTGTTCATTGAAAAAATTATGGTCTTGATAACTCCTCAGTGCTTTCATAATTACATAAAACAATAAAAAAGGATCCCAGTGAATTTGATATTTAATTATTTATACCATCTACTAAACTCAAAAGTGCGTTGGGTGTATGAAGATGAAATGGAACTCTTTCACTGGCCTCCTTTCTTGCTTCAATTTCTTCCGAAACCTTTTCATAGACAAAGTTCTCCAAGTCCATGTTCTCATATTCTGAATATGTCTCAAGATTACTACTAGAATCATCTAAACTAGTGTCTTCATAGGGATGGCAACTTGAGAATTCTTTACAATAGATCCCTATATTTGTTAGGAGATGGCATGCACCCTGGACATTCAAATAAATGGTTACCGAGAGGACAAGAATAAAAGTAAAATGTGTAAAAATTTGAACTGAGCATATGAGAGAGAGAAAGAGATATATTTTCTTTGATGGGAACATGTTATTAATGACTGATGGAAGTTTGTGGAGGCAAACCAAACCCAAGAAATAGCATGTGGTGTTTCGAACAATAAGAAGCATGGGGGCCTTACAAACAAAATATACCCAAAAAAGAGGAGCAAAATAACTGAACCATTCAGAGTGAAACTTACAAAATGCTCAAATAAAAAGTGTAGTAGATAGATAAGAAAACGAGAGCAAAATAATAGAACAATGCGAACAAAATGAAGATAAAACAATATTCAAATTAAAGTGGACTAACATCCACAAACTAAGCCCAATTTTGCACCTTCTCCTATATTTCACTAATTCCTATAATATAGTCATATAAATATTCAAGTCACAAAAGGAATGAAGCAAAACATCATACCTCAAACGGTAGCAAATTAAAAGCAAGTATACATCGGCGAAGAAATAACCCCAAATTACTGTTTGCATCCAAAATAACTTGGTCATCTTCAATAGCACCTGAATCAGGACCTCCAAGTATTCCTAAACAACATTTTCATGTCAATAAACACAAAAACAACCAACTACATTGCAACCTGCGCGTTAAAATAGAAAGCGAAAGGAATAAATAATAGTGATAAACTAACCTCGTATATCGGTAAAGAAGTTAAACAAATCATCCGGCGACGAGATAGACGAGAGTCTACTTATCAATTGATCAATAAGCCAAGATGCTTCCCAGTCTTGACTTATTAATCTCAATTGATGAATGAGTTCATCCAATTTTGGCTCTACAATATCATCACATGACTGCAGAACTCACAGAAGAGTCACAAGCATATAATACAATAGAATCAATGATAGTGACGAATGTGAAGATGAGAAAAGTACCTTGGTGAGAGCTAAGAGGAACAGACCGAGACGATTGTGTTGAGAGACGGAAGTGAAAGGGAACGGAACTGAAGTTTGAGATGGAGGAGCGTAGATCTTGAAAAGTATGCAGAGTGATACTTTGTGTGGCGTTATTGCGAATGAACCTGGTTGTTTCAACATCCCAGCCATTAATTCTCAAATTTCTCTTTCTCGCTGTGTTTTGGCTACTTTCTGTTCGATGAAATGACAGAACGAGAAAGGGAGGTTTTGTGTAGGTTTGAATTTTGCACTTCAGTCATTTCAAAATCTATAACATATTTGAATTTGGTATAACATATTTGAATTTCAATTATACCCTTTGTTTTTTATTTTTAAATTTAAATTCTTTTTTAATAATTTTATTTTATTAATTGATATATAGTAGTTTACACAACTATTTTATTTAATTTTTTTATATAAAATTTAAATTAAAAAAATAAATACACAAAAAAGACATGTATATTTTTAAACGTTTGAACATTAAAAAAACAGATAGACTGGTATGAGAGTGTCAATCTAAACACTAGTGAAAATCAAAACGAAAAGAAAAGTGTAGAGAACCACACATGCTACTAATTAACTAATCGGGAAAATTATTTATATGTCTCCGATTTAGAAATTTAAAACTGAAATTTATTTTTGAATAATATATTTTGAGTATAATGGTAGTACACTATCAATGTAAAAAAAATATTATATATACATTCAATTAAAATATTTTAAAGTGATAAATCATATAAGTAATTTAAAATTTACACACCGACTTGACGGGATACATGGTTGTCATTGTTGAGTGTAAAAATAATTTACACTATCAGTGCACCATCTCTTTTCTCATATATTTTTTCTCATTTTATCAACAAATAAATTGAATAAATTTTCAAATTTGGTTTCAAAACTTCAAGTGTATATATTTTTAAAAAGTATTTATCAAAATTACTAAATAAAATATAAAATTGTGTTTCAGCACATACAACATCAAGACAATCTAAAATATGGTTAAATAACTTTTTTTTATCTTTGTAAGTTAGCATGTTTTGAATTTGATTCTAAGTTTCTTTTTGTTAGATTTTCTATATCTCACTTTTTTGATTGAGTTAGTCCTTGATGTTAGAAGTATGTTAAAAAATGTTGAGATGTCTAACATTGCTGACATGAAAATGAATTTACATGTTCTTTTGTTTAATAAATTACACATGTGATCATTAAAATGTTCCCACAAAAAATTCAACTATGTTCAAAAATAGTCTTTTACATTTAGTCCTTGTAAATTGGGGACTTATCTATTGGGAGAAAAACAAACTTCGATATTGTAGGAGGTAGGCGACGAACAAATACGGCAAGAAGCTCTGTTGCATGACCAACTAACGTAACTTTATCAGATTCAAGCACGATTTAGTAAGTGATGGATTTCAATTTGATTTTTCATTACGGGTGTCTTTATCGAAATGAACACCACCTATTTCAATTTGGTGATGTTCAAGAAGATGAAATAGGTGGTGTTCAAGAAGATGATGTAGGTGATATTTGAGAAGATGAATTATGTGATGTTCATAAAGATGATTTATGTGATGTTAGTATAGAGGATGTAGGTGATGTTCAATAAGATGAAAATGAGGATAATGGTAGTGGTGAGGATGGTGACTTTGAAATTGATGGTTTATCATTTGATGATAGTGAGGATGAGAGAGCTCTTAGGTTGGATGATTGCTTTGAAGGTCAAGGCAGAAGTAGTGAGGTAAAAGTTGTAGCAAAGAAGCATAAGTTCACTCCAAAGAAAGTTTCAGTTATTATTAGTAATGTAGGTTTATCTATTGGACTGGATAATGAGATGGACATCAATTATGCTAGTGATGAGCTTGGCAATAATGACCCTTTTGCTTCTGATAAAGAGAAGGATCCAAAATATCCAAAGTTTATGATGGAGGATTTGGACAAAAAGTACAAGTTCATAGTGAGATTGGAGTTTGTATCACTTGATGAATTTAAAGAAGTCGTTATTGAATGATCAATGCTCAATGGGAGAGAGAAAAAGTACGTGAAAAATGACAAAGTTAGAGTAGAGGTAATTTGCAAGGGCAAATGTGGATTTTTGGCACCAGTAAGTAAAGTTGGGAATAAGCACACGTATAGGATGAAGATATGGGTTGGAACTCACACGTGTGGCAGGATATTGACTAATAGTTCAGCCAATTCCAAGTGGGTAGCTAAAATTGTGGTGGCTAGAATGACATCTTTTAATGGTATTAAGATTCGGGATATTGTTTATGAGATTAGAAGTAACTTTTATGTTGGCATAACTATGAGCAAGGTATGGAAGGCCAAAAAAATTGCAAAAGCTTTGATTGAAGGTGATGTTGTGAAACAATACAGCCTTTTGCGGAGATACTCTGCAGAGTTAATGAGAGTCGATTTTGGGTACACTTGTAAAATTAATGTGGCAAGGGTTTGAGCAACAATACAACCAAGGTTTGGCTGTTTTTACTTTTGCTTTGATGGGATTAATAAGGGATTCTCAACATCTTACGGGTCATCCATTGGAGTCGTTGGATGTCATCTTAAGACTAAGTATGGAGGGACTTTTCTTATTGTTGTTGGTAGAAATCCAAATGACCAATACTATCCATTAGCTTTTGGTGTACGTGAAACTGAGACAAATGAGTTATGGAAGTGGTTTCTTACCTTGCTTTTGGAGGACATAAGTCAAGAAAAAAGTTGGATTTTCATTTCTGATCAATAAAAGGTATTTTCACATACATTTCACTTCAGTATACCTTTTAGATCTCGTCCCTAGCTATGTTTTGCAATTTTGGATTTCATCCCTAAATATGTTTTTAATTTTTTTGGTTTTCATCCCTGATTTCTATTAGTTTCTTTGTCATTGATATTTGTTTGTTTGAAACTGGTTTGTAGGGCTTGATCCCTGTGTTTGAAGAAATATTTGAGAGGGTAGAGCATATACTTTGTCTTACACATTTATATGTCAATTTCAAAAAGAAGTTTGGTGAAGGCCACATATATCTAAATCTATTAAACATTTAAAATTTTAAAACTTAAAAAAAAACATTTAATTTAAAAAAAATATTTATATATATTTTATTTAAAAAAATAATACAAAAATCCGTAGATAAACTATTTATTTCTAGTAGTGTTATTTGTAAATGTAAAATAATATAAAAAAATATATGTTATCAATTAAATAAACTGTACATTTCTAGCCGTGTATATTTGTCAATGTAAAATAATATAAAAAATATATGTTATCGATTAAACTTTTTTGATTAATTTCTTCATTTAAATATGCTTTAAGCCTTTATTATTATTATTATTATTATTATTATTATTATTATTATTATTATTATTATTATTTTAAATTAATTATTATGAATATTACTATTATGACTCTGGACTTTGGTCAGACCCTAATTCTTAGGATTTGATTCCCTATTATTTATAAGTCTACTCAGATCATAAATAAATTAGTTAATTCTCTTTCGCCTATCGACCGGCGTTAAACAACTTTCGGATTTTATGTTGAGATTCCAAATCTCCAAATGGATTATATTGGCCTTTTGATTATTATTAATATTACTTATTATTATCATTATTATTGTTTCAAAAAATACTACGAAGGATTGCACACAAATTATTTCATAAACGTATTTTAATTTTTCTATTTTTCACAACAATAAAAAAAAATATTAAACATAACTAAAAAAATTCAATTAATATAGTAAACTTTTCTTATAAAATATAAGACTTAATATAAAATTAAAAAATGTCTCAAAAATATATCTTTAAAATCAATATGTCAATTATATTTTATAATTTTATTTATTAAGTGTAAAAATATAATTAATTTTAAACAAATAGTACTAAAACATTCTGCAGCAAAAATCGCAGTAAATTTCCCAGCAAATTCCGCAGCAAACTCGCAGAAATTCAAGTTTTAATGAATAATCAGTTCTTGCAAAAGAAATCGCAGATAAATACGCAGGTACATTGATATATTATTTTAAAATTCAAAATCACAGGTAAAGTCTTAGAAACCATAAAACCATGAAATATTTTTTAGTAGTGTAAACTTACTAAGTATTTGTTCAAATCGTATGATACCTTTATCTGAAACCATGAAATTTCCTGAATAATTGATTTAGGTATATTTTAAAAATGGTGGGGGATTGTTGCAGAAATTTTCAAAATATTAAATTCATAAATAATAATTGTTAAATTAAGAAAATAAATGTCCAAAAATTGCAACTGACTATAATATAACCAGAGACCTTATAATGATTGGGTGTGTGGTCATAAGGTGCAACCACCAGATTAACACAACTTTTCATGAAAAAGTCTGTTGTTATTGATATACAATGGTTCGCGAATGGTCATGTTGGAATCAAATGAAACATTGTTTCTTCACACCAATTGGTACAAGTTTTCTTATAAATAGAGATACTTGTTAGCCATAAAAGATATATGAAAATAATATATTTCATATGCAAAATTTGTATTTAAGTCATTTCTTTATTTTTCTTCTGCACGATAATATTAAAGAGGCAAAATAATATATTTCTTTACCTCGAAAAGGTGGTGCAGGAGCAACTTTTGGTACAGTGATGTTGATCATTCCTTCACTTGAATGTTAGGATATTACTGTCGGAATATGTTTCCAAGAATACTCTTCAATGGATCTATTCTCTCAAGCTCTATAAATTGAAGATCAAGAAGCTTGAAGAGTGAGCATTGCTGGTTGCATGTAATAGCATGCTACTAAAGCAAAAGCTAAAGTGCAGAAGAAAATGCTACAAGCTGAAGCCTAAATGAAGAATGCTCAATGAAGATGAAGCTGAAGCAAAATTGGAATGCGTACAACGATGCAATATGCTGAAGCCATGTGAAATTAGTCAAGTGAAACATCAATAAGTGAAGCATAGTAACTTAGTTGACTTGATGGTTAAACTGGAAGAAGTATTATTCACTCAAGAATGAGCAATCAAAAGAAGCTAAAAGCTTTTGAAAACAAGCCTTAGTGTCATCAAGAAAGCTTCTAAGCAATACATAACCAGTGTTTTATAATCTCTCAGAGATTCATATTTTAGACAGTTTTCGGTATTAGAAATCAAAGAGTTATTGCTCATTTCTTGCTTAGA